TTGCTGACTTTTATGAGCAACTGTGACCCTAAACATCCACTCACTATCCGGCAGGCCGTGTGTTCGCTCCCTAATGTGGTAACAAATTCTAAAGCGCTAACAAATGATATTTAAAAAAAAATGCTTGCATAGACAAGTTGTAAAAAATTGGCCTGTCGATCTACGGAGCTCGGTGAACTTTTATCGTTTCTCTGAGTAGGGATATGTGTACCTAACTTTCTTACATTTTGAAACTGAATCTGCTTGTATACACAATTGAATCGAAAAGAATTATCCTTTGGTAATTAAATTTAATTCCACGGATATGGTTAAATTAATGTTATCCACATATTTGTTGGCTATGGGGACATCATCATCTTTAGTAATTCTAATCCTCCATTAATGTGCCGGAGTATGACAACGACCAACGCGCTACTAGTATTCTAGTAGTAGTTATACTAGGGGCGAAAAGGAAAAGAGTATTTCAAGTAACCTGACAAGTGAAAATCCTGGCTTATTTCGGTAAATCAAAAAACGTAACAAAACTTGCACCATCCAGTCTAAACTAGATACTGCCAGTTGAGGCGTATGTGGGTCGGGATTGGCTTTCCGGCCAATTTCTAAAACTTCAAGGCGTGCACTTCGGTCATTAACATTCATATTCTATAATAATATTAACTTTATAATCGATGTGACAAATCATCAATGAAAACTCTTGAAACATCTTATGTTACCGATGTAAATAAAAAGGACATCATGTCGCAAATAAATTGTATACTCACGCTACCCTCCCGAATTCGTCCCTTGGAACATCTTTCTCACCGCTGCTGGTCTCGGAGATTTTCGCTCTGAACGCAGCAATCCGCGCCGCTATCTCATCCTTGGGGAACCTGCGCAACCACACCATAGAAACGCTCATTATTTATGTTATCGAATAGTAATGTTCTTTTAAAAAAAATCGATAGGACGCATTCTCAAAGCGTTCGTGTAATTTATACACTGATGTATCGTTGGGACGAGACCGCGCTTCATGAATACGAAAAACGTAATGAATTCTTATAATAAATCGCCTTGTGTCGCCTACGTAAACGTACCAGTGCATGATACGCCACACAGCTATAAAACCGAAGAAATACTTGTAGGAAAACAATAAAACCGATAAGGCGCACCACCGGCGGCCGACTGAGCCTTACTCCTGGACTTCATGAATAATATTAGTTGACGGGGTCATGCGAGGGGTGGCTGTCGCCCGCTATCGAATTATTGATCAGACTCCGGCGCAGGGGCCATTGCCCTGCTGTCACGAGGGTGCAAAACTATCAACACAATAGATACGATCCCGGCGGGGTACGCAATCTCCTATTCGCAATATTACAACTAAGGGTTATTTTAATTCTAAAAATCGATAACACATGTTGCACCCAAAAACATGTGATTTAATATTTACCAATCGCTACAGGTTGGGCTGTTATGAAATCGGTTTTTTTTTAGGTCGAATAGGGCGAATTTCGTTATAGCGTAAATAAAGTAATGTTAATAGAAAATAATTTAGACAACATGATTTATAAACGCAACAAACTAACTGAAAAAAAATTGTTACGCGAATCCAGATGTCACAAAATTCGAGACCAGACAAATTAGGATGTCTTAGAGGTCCAGTTTAGCCAAAATTAATTTTGCTCTTTCCGGCCAAGTGGCCTTGTGTCAGGCACATATTGTACTTAGATTTCACTTTCACTATTTCTATGTAGGGTCATTCTGACAAACCTCCTTAGAATTGACAATCTTGTAATTGACATAGCTGAATAGGCATTAGTATAAGGGTTGAAGGTTTAACAACGCCTACTAAAATGACTCATGTGTTACGAAATGAAACCTGTGATTTTTTTTTAAAAAGAACAGAGGAAATCGAATTTCAAAATGAACTAAATTATCGATATTGAACACTTTAAGAGAAAAATATATTGAAATAAATAAAAATATTCAGTGTGCCAGTGAAACAAGGATATCAAATTTAGGCCTAGCTTTAAGAGTAAACATGGATGGCTGCATTGGACGTATTCAATTGGACAATTTTGTTGATCCGATCGTAGATTGTCCCCTTCATGTTCTAATTGTTGGATGGTGTGGATAAGAGATAGCAATAAAAAATTAAAAAAAAAACAGTCAAAATTTTATCAAAGCAGAGAGAGTTCCGTACCATTTCATTAATCATCTTTACATTATTTCCTTCCCTGTGATGACCTTGTAGATGACAATAGTCAAGTTATGGTGTAGTTCATTTAAGGTGTCTGATGATTATTTCAAATAATTTTATGAGTAAAAAATTGATTTATACTGGTTGTTTACTCACAGATGGGGTAACTAACTGCCCTACAGAGATTCTTTCAGGTGAAACTCTGTCCACCTCTGAGTCAATTAAGTATGAGGACATGCATTGGGATTGCAAATTATCTGGGAAAGCCCATTTAAAGCCAAGAGGTAAGTTGAAGTTCAGATTTAGAAAGCTGTACTGGCTTCTGGATAGAAAATCAAAACTCTCCATAGAAAATTAGATTCTGGTCTACAAAACAATCCAAAGCTTCTCTGAAATTATATTCAACTTTGAAGCTGTGCTTGTTATTTTATCTTTTACATTTTTCAAAGGGTTTGATAGACTATATTAGATAATTTTAGACCTGCTCTTTTATGTACCTATAGCAGGCAACATAAAAATCATCAAAACCAACTAGCACAGAACCTTGTGTAAGCCAGACACACATGGCTCTTTAAGTATTCAGAAACATGTAATATTCCAGCTGGATCGAAGAATTTGACTCTAAATATTGATGATTATTGGTAGAGACTATCAATCAGCAGGTGACTCTTCATTCCTGTTTATAGCATCAGTTTATCTGGTTACATTGATTGCAGATTCAGAAGAGCAAAAAAAAAATTGGCTCACTGGACACATTGGTGCCTTATTGGCCGACTCAGCGGCACAATGCATATGTCCCTGACTGTTTGGCCAAAGATCATGGGGTTTGATCAATTGAGGCAAACATTTGTCCTTGACTGCATGGCCAAGGATCATGGGTTTGATCAATTGAGGCAAACATTTGCATAATTAATAAGTTTTGTTTTATGTTTAAGTGTTATTTGTATTTAGTTCAATACACTTTGTATAAATAGTCTTTAGTAGCCACAGCACTGGGAACTTTAGTTTGATGCTAAATGGCAATATGTGGTTTGTTATTGATTATAAATTTCTATGCAAAATAAATGTTTAAATAATTAGCAATTATGGCGGTATTTAAAATACTATACTTATTCCATACCTTTTCTATCCATATTCGTTGATTACTAACATTATCTGTGTAGCAGAACACATCTTTATGGCAAATTAAATGTTAGAATCAAACTTTAAAACTACAGTATTTTTGCCTAAGTTTGATGGCTATGAATAGAAGATTATGAAGTAGTAGTATAATTTCAATGAACGACAATACCATCATCCAAATATTGGCAATTGATAACAAACAAAAACTCACAGCACATAAAATTTCCTATGATTACCTACTGCTATCATCAGTTATTATAGCTCATTAGAAATATTATTAGCTGTCTATCATGTTATGTAGTTGTTAAAGTAATCACTGTTTCCTTGAAATATGAAGAATAAACCTAATAATATCAATATTAAATTACCAAACAAAATTAAATTTAAAAAAAAATAATGTAATAATAGGAAACCCTGAAAAAGGTAAAAATATAAGAGACCATCCCCGGAACAAATCTCAGTGTATAACATTAATCCGATTTCTGTGTATTTGTTGTATTTATGCTAAATACTCACCCTTGTTCTTCCAGGCTATCTTCCAACTCTGCACACTTGACTTCAATCTTCCTTTTCCTCTCATGATCGAGTATTTCTCTATTTGGTTGTTTGTTTGACGCCGAATCCAACTTGGCGATCTCATCTTCAGTCCGGTAGTTGACGGAGTCTTTTGTTTTTCTTACCGTAGCCCAATTTCTCTGTACGTAGCCATTTGTACCGGAGCCCCGTGGCGTCGTCAACCCGATCCCATTATACATTATTTCGTATTATATACCTAAAACCAATCGTAACACTTACGGTGTGCAAATTGAAGGTTCTGAATTAGGCCATGAGATTAGAAACTCCCAGAAAAGTTAGTAAAATAATCTATAAATAACAATTTCTCTTTCAAAAAATGTATCAACGTTAATGATCAATAACTCACAATATTATTAGATTATATGTTTATGTTTAAAAAGAATTGAACACGACCATCTTGCTTGGTTTTGATTTTTTTAGATTGAATTATTCATAGACAACGAAATGGCTATGAATTTAGATGTTTCATTTTATCTATAGTTTTTAACTGACAATGACAAAGTCAAGCAAATCAATTGGAACTTTAGAATAACTTTTCTATTTTGAGATCGCTAAACAATAAGATAAAAAGCATAATTTTTGAATAAAAATAATACATGTAACATGATTTAATGAGTTTTCGGCAAACAAAATGAAATATATGAAAAGAAACTTAGGCAAATGTCAATAAAACCACAATATTTTTGTTTTAGATAAGAGTACATAATAATATAGTGTAATAAGAGTTTTAGTAAGAGTAAAGTGAAGTACCTATTTCATTTTATTAAAATGTTTCTAACCTATAATAGTAATGAGTCAATAAATTAATACGTGATTTATTAAGTTGATTTGTGGAAAGATAGCTTCGTCTATATAGCTTCCTTTGTTAAAAAAATAACCTTAGGTCTTACTAAATTTCTGTTCTTATACAGGGTGAATTTGCCTTAATTTTATCTCAATTCGTCATAAAGAGCTATAGAGCTAAATCATTTTAATTTTTTAAAATAGACGCATGGACACTGTTCCCTTTGCCTAAAGAGTGTATGCCGCAAAAAAATCGCTGCATTCGAAATAGAATATATTATGTGTATAATCTATGGAAATAGAGGTTATATGTAGCTTTAAATTGTGTTGTTTATGTTTCTTTTTCAATTAAAATATTGCATGGCATCTAGAAAAACTGACGAAGTAGTCTAGTTTCTGAGCAAACACATTTAAAACTTTTACCATGTTGAATAAAATGTTGTTTAACACTGTTTTATCTCAGACTTTATCGCCGTGTGGTAAATATTTAGTAGCCGGCAATATTTATGGAGATCTTGCTGTATTTGAGTATGTTATTTGTATTAAATTTAAAGAAGTATATTTTAATATTTGGAGAGGTTTATAATTCATTCTAAACTTTTCTTACAGCCTAGATCGTATTTTAAATCCAGTACTAGAATTATTATCTGTTGAATACAACAAACCAAAACATATACATTCTATAGATTCAAAAAAACAGATTTGTAGTCTAGTTTCAACGGAAAAATTCCTTATAATTGGTACCGTTAATGAAATATGCGGATGGGACTGGAAGGCTGTTGTTTCTGTTAAATTATCAAAACCTGTATGGAGCATAAAGATTCCTTCCCAAACTTTTTTGGACTACAACGATGTGAACTGCATGTGGCTATCTCAAGACAGTGAGAAGCTGTATGCTGGTTGTGGAGACAATAATGTGTATGTGTTTAATTTGGAAGATGGGAGCCTTATTTCAACTTATAAGGGACATAATAATTTTATTCATTCTATTCATGGAAAGTAAGTTGTTTGTTTGATTACTTGCCTTATTTCAGCTGCTAATATATTTGCCCCGACAGTGATATACATATATGTTTATGGCTAATATTACAGTAATAAGAAAGTTATTTAAAAAAAAATTTCAGAAACCAACAGATTATTTCAGCAGGCGAAGATGGTTTGGTTATGCTTTGGGATACTAGAAGTGGAAAATCACACAATAAATTGGAACCACACACTAATAATAAGGTCAGCAGACCTGATATTGGCAAGTGGATTGGCTCAGCAGCTCTAGGAGATGACTGGATTGTAAGTTCATCTATCATCAATCTAATTATTCATACATATTATCATTAAAATGCCAGAGGTGAAAATAAAAACGAAAATGAAAATCAGTGAAAAAATTATTTTTGTTTAATAGGGAAATTACATCATAATATTGTGACTGATATTTTCCTGTGGGTGTTGTAAAAGGCGCTTTATTTTATTTAAAACCCTCTTAAGCTAGCAACTTCGATCAACAATAGTAACTAGATAAAGGGATACGTACAAAATTAAAGCAAAAACTGTCCGCGTGAATATATACTTATATAGCTACATTCGTTTACTAACAAACGGAGAAAAAAGTTTTGAAACACTTTTACTTTCAAACTAATAACAACTATGGCACCTAGTAATAAAGTCACAAATCTCCAAAACATTATCTNGACGTCAATATCATCCGCATATCCCAGTACTTGAGCGGATTTGTAATATATATTGCCCGTCGTCTCTATTGCTGAGTCACGGATACACTTATCGAGTGCAACATTGAAAAGAAGGCAGGAGAGGGCATCACCCTGCCTTAGTCCATCATGGGTTCTAAAAGGATCCGATAGGTCTGTTTGGATCTTAACAATGCTTTGCGATGCAACAAGTGTCATCCTTGTTAAAGATATAAGCTTCGGTGGTACGCCAATCTCATGCATAGCCTGGTATAGGAAATCACGGCTTATGTTGTCGTAGGCAGCTTTAAAATCAATAAAAAGGTGATACGTGTCAGCATTAAAAAAGTCACCTTAGGTCTTACTAAATTTCTGTTCTTATACTGGGTGAATTTGCCTTAATTTTATTTCAATTCGTTATAAAGGGTTATAGAGCTAAATCATTTTGGTTTTTCATAACTGATGCATGGACACTGTTCCCTTTGCTTGAAGAGTGTATGCCGCAAAAAAAACCGCTGCATTCGAATTAGCGATGTGAACCGATTACAATTTCTGGCTGTGGTCTATTACCGGTTTTTTCTCAAAAAACCGGTTTTTTTAGGTATTTTTAGGTTTTTTCCATAAAGGCTAAATAATCACTAAATAAAACAAATTTACGTACAAACGAAGAGTTTTTTTCATACAATTAATTGGGTGAGCATATTTTATATAGGCTTTTAATGATTATATATATTATCCAATAATAAAAAGCTTTTTATTTTTGATTTAATACTATTGTATTAAATTAAAATTTTGATGCAAGAGGCATAGTTGGTCCACTGCGTCATTCAGAAGCCTGCTCCTTCTGGATGTTAGCACGTGCCAGCAATTTCGGTGTGGTTTTCTGTAGCAGCTTCAGTCTCAATATACATTCGCTCTATATTCACTGTGGCCGCCGTGGCGTTCGGAATATCCCGTTTTCGCGAATGCAAAAAATCCAGAATACCAGGGTTTTTAAAATTGTTTGTGGTTTTTTCTGGATGTTCCGATGATAAAGCGACAGTTAAAAATTTTTCAAGAAGATTCCCCAGTTCACGATGCGCCATCTTTTTTGCAGACAACATGTGCTCTGGTTGGCGAAAGCCATTTCTGAGTGTTGGGTGCAGATATGTGGATATTTTGGTCACGGTCCTCATTTCGTACGCTAAAAGTCTACCAACCATATGTGGTTATTGCACTGTAGTTTTTAAATGTAATGCACGGTAATTTGATTCTGAAACACGGTTTTTTTTATATTTGTAGCTTGTATATTTGATCTGGTAGCACTGGTGTGAGCTGTGAATGTAAAGCGTAAAAAACCGGTATTCTTAAATAAAAACCGGTATTTATCGGTATGTATAAAAACCGGTTTTTCTCCGGTTTTCTTTGAACCGGTTTACATCCCTAATTCGAATTTCGAGATAGAGGTTAGAAGTAGCTAAACTTAAACTGTGTTGTTTATGTTTTTTTCCAATTAAAATATTGCATGGCGCCTAGAACAACTAACGAAGCAGTCTAGTTTCTGAGCAAACTCATTCAAAACTTTTACCATGTTGAATAAAATGTTGTATAACACTGTTTTATCTCAGACTTTATCGCCGTGTGGTAAATATTTAGTGGCCGGCAATACTTATGGAGATCTTGCTGTATTTGAGTATGTTATTTGTATTAAATTTATAGAAGTATATTTTAATATTTGGAGAGGTTTATAATTCATTCTAAATTTTTCTTACAGCCTAGATCGTATTTTAAATCCAGTACTAGAATTATTATCTGTTGAATACAACAAACCAAAACATATACATTCTATAGATTCAAAAAAACAGATTTGTAGTCTAGTTTCAACGGAAAAATTCCTTATAATTGGTACCGTTAATGAAATATGCGGATGGGACTGGAAGGCTGTTGTTTCTGTTAAATTATTAAAACCTGTATGGAGCATAAAGATTCCTTCCCAAACTTTTTTGGACTACAACGATGTGAACTGCATGTGGCTATCTCAAGACAGTGAGAAGCTGTATGCTGGTTGTGGAGACAATAATGTGTATGTGTTTAATTTGGAAGATGGGAGCCTTATTTCAACTTATAAGGGGCATAATAATTTTATTCATTCTATTCATGGAAAGTAAGTTGTTTGTTTGATTATTTGCCTTATTTCAGCTGCTAATATATTTGCCCCGACAGTGATATACATATATGTTTATGGCTAATATTACAGTAATAAGAAAGTTATTTAAAAATTTTTTTCAGAAACCAACAGATTATTTCAGCAGGCGAAGATGGTTTGGTTATGCTTTGGGATACTAGAAGTGGAAAATCACACAATAAATTGGAACCGCACACTAATAATAAGGTCAGTAGACCTGATATTGGCAAGTGGATTGGCTCAGCAGCTCTTGGAGATGACTGGATTGTAAGTTTATCTATCATCAATCTAATTATTCATACATATTATCATTAAAATGCCAGAGGTGAAAATAAAAACAAAAATGAAAATCAGTGAAAAAATTATTTTTGTTTAATAGGGAATTTACATAATAATATTGTGACTGATATTTTTCTGTGTGTGTTGTAAAAGGCGATTTATTTTATTTAAAACCCTCTTAAGCCAACAATAGCCTTCCCAAGGAAAGTTGTGTCGAAGTCATTGTGGCCTAAAGGATAAGATGTCCGGTGCAATCATATCTAGCAATGCAACAATGTTAGAATCCCACAAGCCAGGTATCAATTTTTCTAATGAAATACGTACTTGACCAATGTTCACAATTGATTTCACGGTGAAGGAATAACATTGTGTAATGAAACTCAAACCTGCAAAATTATAATTTGCATAATTACTGGTGGTAAGACCTCTTGTGAGTCTGCACGGGTAGGTACCATCACCCTGTCTATTTCTGCAGTGAAGCAGTAATGTGTTTCGGTTTGAAGGGTGGGGTAGCCGTTGTAACTATACTGAGACCTTAGAACTTATATCTCAAGATGGATGGCGCATTTACATTGTAGAATTTTTTTTATCGCTTAGATGTGTGGACGAGCTCACAGCCCACTTGGTGTTAAGTGGTTACTAGAGCCCATAGACATCTACAACGTACTGATGTCTATGGGCTCTGGTAACCACTTAACACCTGGGTGATAATTAATAATGGAATATATAAAAAAATTACAGGTATGCGGTGGTGGACCTCGATTGTCTCTGTGGCACCTTCGTTCATTAGATGCAGTGACAGTCTTTGACATTCCAGACAATGGGATTCATGTGTCATTCTTTCATGATGACTGTGTGTTTGCCGGTGGTACTTCTAAACATTTTTACCAAATGAGCTACTCGGGTGAGGTGAGAGTAGAACTACCAGTGTCTGCCACGACCATATACAGTGCGGTACTAAGAACTGAATACAGCACCCTGTTAAGTTTAGCCGGTTCCAGTCCAGAAATAGATTTGTGCACATCTCTTAATTACAAAGATCAAGTTTTACATTTTCGATAGTTATAAGTATACTTAGGTGGAAAAAATTAAATGAAATGAAATCGAGATTTAAGTTTTATTATACAGTATTTACTAATATTATGATAAGTTCAGTAAAATTTACTCTAGGATATTTAAATAACTTAATTTTTCATTTTCTCAGTCACCTGAAGTACATATTTTGAACTTTGAATGGACAATGTAAAATATGCATGTATGCAACATTAAAACATCAATAAAGTTTTTTGGATAATAATATTTAACCAATTGCTCCCAGTAGTCGGTACTTGTGTAAATTTTGGTTACTTGCTCCGGTGATGCCTCAAATTGAAACAGCTCATAGTTCAATCGCCTCCTATTTACGTCTAATTGGTATCACTAGTTCGATTCCTTCATTGGACAAGCATTGTGTGATGAACAGGTTTGTTTGCTCTTTGTCTCGGTGTTTTTTAACTATATATTTAAACTTAGTATCGTTATGATTGTATAAACTGTTCGTTGCGTACATGATTGTAATGAAATTGTGATTCTAATCCGGTGGTAGATTCTGCGAAGCACTGCTCTTGCTAGTGCCAGTTTTAGCAAACCCCATGAACCTCACCTACCAGCCACAACGAAGCAGGAATAGCCTTTTAGGTTACCAACGAATACGTAGGGCAGAAAATGCAATTCAGACTTCGACATTATATTTATGCGACATATATTTATGGAGATAAATCGTTCGTGAACTTTTTTGAACGAAAAAAAAAGAACATTGGTTTCAAAGTTTTTGTTGCATACACTCAATTTGAAATCGCTGTATGTGGTATAAATTCTTCAGAATTTCAGAGATTGCACGAACTGAAAGTCGTATCGTATTCTTTTGGTTTCCACTTGTGGACATGGTTAGAACTAGTCTTACTCCAGTACACTATAGTCGTCCGTGGCCACGAAAAATATCACCTATTCGAAAATTCAGAAATAGTTTATTGAAAAATAAAAAAACGCGAGGTTAACAGTAGTTTTAATTATAAACTAAATGAATGCGATAGATGCCGATCACGATAATTATATAAAGTTTTAGAATTTTCTGTATTAAATCGACAGACGAGCTAACAAACAAATCGCCCATCGACACGGCGCCCGAAGTGATGGAAATATCTTCTAGGATCATGTCCTGGGTGTCTGCGTGCTTGCTACAATATCCCGGGCAGCTTGGAGCTTGCTAGACATTGTCACATTTCTACCTTGTGCTAGACGAGCTAGCTCTTCAAATGTACCCATGATCCGCTATAACCGCTGGTATGAACCCAAGACTTCCGTCTTTCTTCTTAACGTAAAACCAATCGACATTTGTACTGGCACGCGCGCTGTTCTCGAGCACTACAACTTCACCTTTCTGCACGGTCACCGTTCTTTCCAAAACGTTACCTTTGTAATTACTATTGACGACCATTAGAGTTTGTCTTTTAACGTGCGAATTTTCGTGTTCATACTTTGTGTTAAGCGAGCAAACAGATTTCGTTTTCAAATATAAATCGTCGAAATCTTTTTCCGGACAATAATTAGGTTGGATTCTGTCGTTGTTTTTGTATCTGCATTCGGAACGCGTCCTTCTGCGCTGTTGCGTTTTTTCGCCGTCCGTGGCGTTCCCGCGCGGCCGCGGGTATACGTCGGTGCTGCTCTCCCAACACGGTGACTTCCTTTGAGCTGATGCTCTGAAAGATACGAATGGTGGATTGTATATAAAAAAATGCAAAGTGTAAGAGAACGAAATATGCTTGGCTCAGTTCAAAGGTGACAGCGGATTAATAACATCTGTCTATCTATTTATCTATCAGCCCACGGACGTCCACTGCTGGATATAGGCGTCCCCTAAGCCTCGCCACAAAGATCGGTACTGCGCTGCTTGCATCTGGTGGATCCCCGGGAACGTCAACAAGTCATCGGTCCATTTTGTGGGAGGCCTACCCATGATACGTCTTACGGTACGCGGTCGCTACTCAACAACTTTTCTTTCCCAACGGACATCCTTTTCTTTCCCAATGGCAATTTATAACAACAATAAAGTAATATCTTGTGCTAACGGCAACTCGACCTGATCGAAACCCATGCAACCCAGCAAAAGATAACCAAAAAGCGTCAGAAGGAAGATCCAATTATATACGATCTACATTTTCGTGATCACCACATCAGAAATGGAAGCTTATGATCACATTAAATAGATAATACTCTAATACTAGAATTAGAGGTTTTTCAGCCGTAGACATAATTAAAACTTTTTTACGGTTCAATCTATTATTCAAAGTGTTTTAATATCTTTTGATTATTTCCAACGTTTCGAATGTTTTACAGCTGTCGGTCGTCGATTAATCCGTAAAATAAGTTTTACCGACGCAGTAAAACTCATAAAATTTCAAAATTTGACAACACAATAGCACGTCATAGCAGTGTTTACCGGACTTTTTGGCGGGAACGCGAGGAGTGAAGTTGTGTGATTTGTTTTATTTTGTCTATTTAGTGTTTCTTCAGGTTTAAATGTGTAATAATGGTGGTTTATTAACTGTTTAATATCTGTGAAAGTGCAAAAATGTGGGAAAATGAAACAAGGCGCTGAACGTAACTTCTCGGGATCCTCCAAAATGTCCACTGAAAAAATCTCAGTCTCACCACCATTTTACTGAGGTTATATTTCATCCCATATCATCTCATTTCATTTAATTTCATCCCAGTTGATTAATGTCTCAAATTAATCATATTCATTTCATTTCATTTCACTCCATATTATCTTATAGACTTAACCTAAAGGTCTTAGTTACCAGGTAATAAATACCCTTATTTAAATTAGCAGTGTTTACCTGTTTGGCAATATTCCCAAGGGCAAACAAGCCTTATACAACACATATCCTTCGTCTCCGTGCGGAGTCTGCGCGTACAACCACTTGTCGTTCTTGAACACTGCGTTCACGACTGTGCCCAGCGGTAAGGTCAGCTCTTGTTGAGCTTCGTTTTGGGTCTGATACAATATGCTGGGATAGGTTATTACCACCGGTATGTTACCGGGTCGATCGATTGAAGCCTGAAAGAAGTCACATTAAATGCTGAGTAAATTCGTCGAACATTGAAGTCTGCACAAAATTATTTATTTGTTTATATATGTTTACGTCGAAGTCGTCATGAACTAAAGGATAAAACGCCCGGTGCATTCGTATTGAGCGAGGCGAGTGTGTCGGTGTTCGAATCCCGCAGACAAGTAGGCACTAAGTTTTAACGCTTTATGGCTTGACTCCGACGGTGCAATTAATGCTGCAATGAAATGTTCGTTTGTCGGTGTGTGTTGTTTGTCCTTCTTTAACGTTGAAACGAAGCAACGAATTGATATAATTTTAAGCTATTGCATAGCTTTTATCGCGGGCTTTACGCGCGGCGACCGAATCAAGAAATTCCGTAATGAAAATAAAACCTAACACCGCCCAATCCGACTACCATGTAGCTCGCGTTCGATTCACACGTTGCGCTTGTGTAGTGTTTGTGAATAAGCGCGCGGCGTGACGTCGCACTGTATGCGTATCATGAAAAGTCTGCCCATCTCTCTCTCGCGCGGTTTAGCTTATAAGTGTGAAGGGGACAGTTAAAGTTATTGCTTTTGTTAATGTTTATAAATACAGCGTGGTCTTTAAATTATTATGGTCTAATTATAATTGCATAAGTTGATAAAAAATGCTATGCAATAGCTTTATTGCGCCAGTCCCCGACTGCCACACGTGTATTTTTATTTTAAGATTTCGGTTAGGATAGTGAAATAGCCTTTTATTCCGAAAAAAAAATCTCATTTCTACAGGCAGTTCTTTTATTATCTTTAAAAAAATACATGATACTTGTCCTTGACCACGCAGGCGAAGTCGCGGGTAACAGCTAGTATTATTATTAAACTCATTGAAGATTGAAGCTCGCTACGAATCCATATCAAATACTATAATGAATTTATGAAAATGTTATAGAAATTTCATTGCAAATACAACAAACGTATTGTTTATTTTGTGTAAGAACATAAAGACATGTTTTCTTTGTTTTATCACTTAAGTGTGATTACCGGAACCTATAGATATCACAAAGCGAATTCCGTCACCCCTTTGAAATCATCATCAGTCAAAAAGAAAGTGTTTGTATTAAAACGTAGTGCTTTTGTCCAAGCTTAATACTGTAATTTGCAATTTCTGGCATCTATTCGATACGAAGGTTCGATGTATGGTACATAATTCACTAAAGCCCTTCAATATAATTAGCTTGGAAAGAAGCGTTTTTGCTGTTCGAAATTTATATACGAGAAAACGTTTTAAACAAAACCCGATTCCGAAAACTAAATTATGAGTAATTTACGCTCATCCAATTTCACGCCAATTTTTCGATCCATATTGTACACTGCGGGCGTTGTGCTTGGGTGTGATGTATGTGAAGGAGGAGAGGGCGAACTATTAATTATGAACAGTTATTATGTTATGTGGTAAGAATATAATGATATGTATTGTGGCGATGGTTAGGCGTATTGTTAGTACGCACGTATAAATAAATTGACTTCCACGGTGAAGGAATAACATTGTGTAATAAAAATCAGACCCGCAAAATTATAATTTGCGTAATTGCTGGTGGAAGGACCTCTTGTGAGTCCGCACGGGTAGGTAACACCGCCCTGCCTATTTCTGCCGTAAAGCAGTAATGCGTTTCGGTTTGAAGGGTGGGGCAGCCGTTGTAACTATACTGAGACCTTAGAACTTAGGTATATCTCAACTGGCTCCAGTAACCACTTAACACCAGGTGAACTGGGAGCTCGTCCACCCATCTAAACAATAAAAAAAAACCCATCGTCATGCCTATTTTTGCCGAAATGTAGACACGTGTACGGTTCGAAGAGTGAGCAGCCGTTATATGTACATTACAATCGAGATATCGACCTCGTGTCTCAAGGTGGGTTTCTCGTTGATAATCTCGTTGATAATATCTTTAAGTAGATGAGTTTGTTCGCCCATCTAGAGCACCAATATTATACACATTGTTATTAACGTGATTTTATTGAAATTCGGAACTTT